TTTTTTTTTTTTTTTTTTTTTTAAAAGAACGGATATAACCAAACCAGATCAGTAATCTGATTTACAAAAACAGAGTGCACTAATGACACCAAAAATATTTGGCTGGGATCATATTAGGAGGGACGACAGACATATTTTAAAAAACAGGTTTAAGGGCTGTCGGTTCATCCATATCATCCTTTAATCAAATATTTCTATGCTACCAACAATGCAGTTTAGATAATGAAACTGAAGCCAAGGCTCAGCAGATATGGAAGTTGAAAGGTATTTTGGATTATCAAGCTATGTTCCCATTAGAAAACCATATATACATACCTTTATAAGCAAAATGCTTCCAAGGGAATGCAACTATACCAGCCAAAAAGCACAGCTTTGCCAGTATAACTGCATTTATACTAAGTGTTTTTGCTGGCATAGCAATGTCAGTACAAAACATACCCATAACCAACATAGCTATGCCAGAAAAAGCCTTCTTAGGCAGACAGAGCCACAGTTTGGAAGGGTGGGAAAGAACATGATTCTCACAGCTCACCACCAGCTTATCTATAAATCAAGTGCACTGACATATACTCTGAAGACAGTTGCTCACCTGGAAATCAAGTTCAGGTGAGGTAATGGAACAGAAGCAACGAACAAAGGAGGGAGTGGAGAGTGCAGAGGGTGAGATGGAGAGAAACAGGACTTTTTGCACTGTGAGCAAAGTATATGAATACATCACAAATAGGGTTATTTTCCAAGGTAATGTTGAGAATTACTATGGCAAAAGAATCCCTCCAGAAGTATTTTATATTGTTTTCATCAGAAGTATTGCTAATAGCTTACCCAGTTGTTTTTTTTCCCAGCATAGATTTCCATGTTTTCTCCATACTGTGGTTCTTCAAGTAAAGTCTGATATTCAAACATGAGGCGAGAGCTCTCACGCAATCGGCCACATTGGAACTGGTGATACTGCTGCACAAGCTCTTTCACAACAAGCAGGAGGCACTCAGGGTTTGAAGGATTCCATGAGGCTAAATTCTGTTGAATTAGAAAACAAAAAAAAGGCAGATTAGTTTATAGCAACAGAAAGGGAGATGAGTTGTCTTGCGGCCAAAATAATATGAAGGGCTTGTCTATATGGGGAACCTGTTGTGAAACTAAGCTAAGATGTAAATTTAAACTGCACGATATACTCTACTTATTGAAAGTGGACTAAGCTAAACAGTAAAAGGCATAGCTCTATGCTAGCGAACAAAGCTATGACAGCAATGTGCAATAAGAGAAGAAACACAGAGCTACTATGGAATTGATATCATGGCTTATTTTTCAACACAGGAAAGACTTAATGAACATCTGAGCTGCATCTGAGTACCTTAAGCCTTTCAACTGACAGAACCAAATTCATCTAAAAAAATCATAAAAATAAACTCAAGCAAACAGTTCTGCAGTAAATCTAAAGAAAATTTAGAAGTACTTAATACTAGCACAAGTGACTGCATCCAATTGACAATAACTCTGGAAAGCAAACACCTTTTTTTCATTCAAAGAACAACACTACAAGAGCAAGACACAGTTCCTTTCCACTGTCTCAACCATGAGTCCAAGGCTTTGTCTTCACTTCATACTAGCCATATCTCCAACTTAAATCCCATCTAAGAGGTATTAAGAGGGCAACTTTGTGCCCTAGGCTGCCACAGTGCACTGGGCAATCCCAGCTGCTGTAGTCCAATGGCAGCAGCATCTATTTTTGAGCACCCCTCACCTCTCTTAGTTACACTACTGTCCCAGCCCCTTAATTAGACTGTAGTGGTGGCTTAACTCAAGTTGGCTAACATTAGAAACAGAGACTATAGCTCAAATTGGCTCAATTCAAGAGCTATTCAATGTGCTCATTCTGTGCTATGCATCCAATCTTTCTTAAGTGGTGCTCAAACCTTTTGCCCAGCAAGTCAGATGGGTAGTGCCTGGCAGGTGTGCAGGCTGGATTTGGCCAGTGGTTCTGATCCAGCACCCAGGCCCCATCCAGTTGAGTGGAGGAGGCAGGGGGAAACAGCCTGGCCTCAACCCAGGCCACAGAGAAAGGGGGCTTGACGCAGCCTTGAGGGTCAGGTGGCAGCGTGGCCTAGCCTGATCAAACCATGGGGAGGATGGGGCATAGCCCAGCCCCGATCCAGCTGCAGGGGCTGGGAGGTTTGGAAATTTGGCAGGGGGAGGATGGCAATATTAATTGCAACTGGCCCCTACCACCAAGTTTCCTGACCTATGGAGAGTCCCATGGGCCAGATGTGATGGCTTTGCAGGCTGGAGGTTGCGCACCCCTCTTCTTAAGTGTTTGCCCTGTGGTTGCTTTCACTTAAACTAGGCTATGGCTATTATTCTAATGCACACACGCATGTTTTGGGCGTTGACATTATACTCCTATTTGTGACCAACCTCACTGAGTTTATTCTGTGGTAAAAACTACAGCTCCTTTGTGTCTCATGATTTTGTACAATAGTTAATGTACATTAAAATTAATGTTCCTAACACCCAAGTTAGGTGTTACGTTTTACATCTAAAATGTCATAAGATAATATACCGTATCTTTCTACTGGGGAGGGGGACAGACAGCTCAGTTCAAAATATTTTCTTAAATATTATACTTACTCTTGATATAGAAATATTAAACATACGATAAACAAGACATTTTAACCATATACATTCTATGTGCATGAATAGAAGGCATTGCTATTTTTAATGTTCTTGAGCAGAACAAATTATTTTTAGTATATAACTGAACAAAAACTAAACAAGAAGAGAAAAAAATGTTTTTATAACAGAGGCAGTGGTGTTCTGTTGTATGTTCTGAATTCAATTATAAGAAGTATAATTGGGGAACAAACTGGAGGAACTCGCCCTCAGAATAGCTAGTTCAAACCCAGATGTCATAGGGCTGACAGAGACGTGGTGGGACTCGTCCCATGACTGGGCA